GGCGTCACATAGTGTCCCAAGTACTCCAGCTCTTGCCGCGCGAATTCGCATTTGTCGCAGTTGGCTTTGTACTTGGCCTGTCGTAGCCGTTCCAGAACGGTGCGCAGGTGCTCCACATGCTCGTCCAAACTCCGACTGTACACCAAGATGTCGTCGAGGTAGATGAGTACGAAACGATCCAGCATGTGTCGAAACTCCAATGTCATAGCCGCCTGGAATGTGGCTGGGGCATTCATAAGGCCAAACGGCATGACCAGCCATTCGAAATGCCCATATCGCGTTTTAAACGCGGTCTTGTATCGATCCTCCGGGCGAATCTCAAGTTGGTGATAACCCGACTTGAGGTCCAACTTGGAGAAGAACTTGGCGCCGCCCAGTCGCTCCAGGAGATCGTCGGTGAGTGGGAGAGGGCCGGCGTTCTTGACCGTTTGCGCGTTGAGCTTACAATAGTCGATGCACAACCGCAAATCCTTGTTCTTCTTCCGGACGAAGAGAACAGGTGCACCGTATGGCGAAGAGCTAGGTCGAATCCAGCCTTTCTCCAGAAGGTCGTCGAGTTGTGCCCGTAGCACACTTAACTCTTCCTCGCTCATTCGGTAGATGCAACCACGCGGAGGTACAGCCCCGTCCTCGAGGATGATCTCGTGGCGGATGGGCCGATCCGGTACTACTCCGTGCGGGGCCTCGAACACGTCACTATAAGTGGTGAGAAGCTCAGTGATGCGTGGGTCCGATGATGCGTCCGTCAATGGGGTGTCCTGGGGCGGGAGGGCGTGGAGAAAACACACCCCCATCTCCTCAATGTCATCCTTGATGATGAAACCTCGAATACTTGCGGCGGACACCACTTGACAGTTGATCGAAGGGTGAGGAGGAGGCACCGTGCATGGGACTAATACTCCTTCCCGGTCACGAACGTGAACGGTGCGGCGGTAGAAGTTCACCGGGTGGTCCTCACTTCGCAGCCATGACATGCCCAAAATCATGTCGAACTTAGTGTCCAGAATGTCGAAGGACACGGCCTCGCGTGCATTCGGGGCGAAATACACAGGGACGTTGTCAATGCACCGGTCAATTGACTTGTGCGTGTGACCATCGGCCAACGTCACGTGTGTCGGATGGGACTTCCTCCAGACGCGTGGGCCAAGGCCGGCGCGTACCATGAAGTCCTGACTCATGTAGTTGCGAGTTGCACCGCAATTGATCAAGGCGCTGCAGGTCGCCTCTCCAATCTGAATGCGTACATACAACAATGGTGCGTCAATGTCGTCGTACCTTTGTGTCTTGAACTCGCGGTCGATCTTCACGATGTACTCCTGAAGGTCGACAACCTCTACTCCGGCGTCCATCAATGGAGTTGGTACTGCAGTGTGCAAATACTCCCGCAATTGTGCCATGAGCACATTGTAATGCGATTTCGACAATCGACCGGTCGGGGGAACGGGCATCCACTGGAAGTCCGCGACTGTCAACGGGTCGAGCTCTTCAAGTCTTGACCACATCGACGAATCCCCTGAGGTAAATGATGGCGGAACTGCCGAATCGGTTGCCGATGGAGATGAAACCGTGCATGCGGTGGAGTGTTGCACGTG